GTGTGTCTGTGTTTGTGTGTGTCTGTGTTTGTGTGTGTCTGTGTTTGTGTGTGTGTATGAGTGTGTGTGTGTATGAGTGTGTGTGTGAGAGTGTGAGGGAGGGAATGTGTGTGTATGTGAGGGAGAGAGAGTGGGTGTATGTGTGTGAGAGAGAGAGTGTGTGTGTGTGTGAGAGAGCATGTGTGCGGGTGGGTATGTGTGTGTGTGAAAGGAAGAGAAAGACAGTGTGTGTATGAGAGAGGATCTGTGAGTGTATGTGTGTGTGTGTGTGTGTGTGTGTGTGTGTGTGTGTGTAGTGTGGTGGGGTCACCTGTAGTGTGACATGAACCCAAGATCCTGTATGTGTGTTTGTGTGTGTGAGGGATGGTGACTGTGTGTTGGGGGGAAGAGGGTGAGAGAGAGTGTGAATGTGTGTGCGTGTCCTCATGGGTACCGAACTTGAATATCAGCCTCTGCTCGGCGTCTCTGCGTTGTTGTATATCCCGAAGTCGGCCTTGGAGGACATTTACCCGAAGATCCGAGGCCAACTGTCCTTCACCACTGAAGTGTTCCCTCACTGGGAGGGTACGTTACTGTCTGGTGATTGTTGCGTAGTATCCATTCATCCATTGTCATCGTGACTGCATGATTTCGCCAATGTACCATGCCCCGGGGCATCCTTGCCTGCAATGTATGAGATAGATAACATTGGCCAAGTCACATGAGTATCTGCCATGCACATGGTGGGTGGTGTTCCCATGTGTGATGGTAGTCCCCATGCCAACGATCTGACAGGTCTTGCAGAGGTTGCCAAGACAGGGTTGTATCGTGTTGTGGTCAATGTTGTCCTGAAGGCTGGGCAGTTTGTGGCGAACAATTTAAGGTTTGGCAGTTGTTTGAAGGCAAGAAGTGGAAAGGTGGGGAAGATCTTGGTGAGATGCTTGTCGGCATCGACAATGTGTCGAAGGCTGTGAAGGATAAGGTGTAGTTTCTCCACTCCCAGGCAGTACTGGATGACGAAGGGTACTCTATCGGACGTATCCCGTATCTGTCTTCTGAGGAGGTCACTATGGTTTTTCGTGGTGGCACGTGGGAACTTGCGATCGATGAGTTGAGTATTGTATCCTGTTCCTATGACGACATCCTGCAACAACTTCAGGTGTCCGTTGCATTCCTCCTCGTCTAAACAGATCCCGTGTATGCGTTGTAAACTACCCACTCTCTCACACACGTATACATACACACACACTCATTCACACAAATACACACACACACACTCTCACACAGATCCTCTCATACACATGCTGTCTCTGTGTGTCTCTCTCTCCTCTCACTCACTCACACATACATACACACACTCTCTCGCTCACTCACACACACACACTCTCTCTCTCCCGCCCTCTCTCTCACACACACACACACACACACACTCTCTCTCTCTCCTCTCATACACACACAAACACACATACACACTCTATCTCTCCCCTCACATATACACACACGCACACACATACTCTCACATACACACACACACACACTCTCTCTCTCTCTGCCCCACAAACACACACACACACACACACACTCACAGTCTCTCTCACACTCTCTCACACTCTCTCACTGTCTCTTTCTCTCTCTTTCCCCCATCGCACACACGCACACACATTCACATTCTCTCTCACTCTCTTCCCCTCCAAACATACTCAACCCCCTTCGCACACAGACACATTCACAGTCTTTCTCACTATCTTCCCCCAACACACAGTCACCATCCCTCACACACACAAACACACGCACTCACTCTCTCTATCTTTCTCTTTTTCTCACTCTCTCTCTCTGTCACACACACACACACACACACACACACACACACACACACGTAATAAATCTGTGGGGTAAATTTGTATTCGCAGATACATTCTATTTTGTTCAAAATGCACACAATTTATAGACTGTCAGTCAATGTCACGTTTTATAAATTTCTACTTTAGAAATAAAACCAGTCTGACTCCAAACTGAAACACAAATTGATTCTAAACAAGGCCTCACACCTAACATGCATTGTCTGATCTAAAATGTTACCCCTTCTTTACACTGACAGAGCCTTTAGTTCTCTCAGGGGCAGTGACTTGAAAGGAATTCAGAGAGTTACACATTCTTGTTAATCAATTATAACCTTCTAACTGATTAAAGATTTAACAGCATCTTAGGTTTGTTTAATATATCCTCATCAGTGGTGTGACCCTTTGATCTTTTACTTATAAATTGTGTACCTGATACCAGCTCTCTCACTAACACCTGAAGAAGGAGCAAAGCTCAGAGAGCTATTGTTATCAAATATACCCATTGGACTATAACCTTGTGTAATGTGATTTCTGGCCTTGGTATATAGAAGTGGGAGTAGTCTTTTCAACCTGTTGAGCTCTCTTCATCATTGAATACTATCCAGGCCAATCAAACATTATAATACCTTTCACCCATACTATTCCCATAACTCTTTACATCATTGGTAATCAGAAATCTATCAATCTCTGATTTAAACATACACAAACACTGAGATTCCACAGACTTCTGTGGTTGAGAATTCCAAAGATTCAGACCCCTCTGTGTAAAAACATTTCTCTTCATCTTGTCCTAAATGGCATACCGGTTATTTTAAAATTGTGCCCCCTTGTTTTATACTGTCCAGCCAGGGACCCTCTTACTTGCGTTTCAGTGTGGCGCAGACTTATCATGATGCTGTATAACTGAAGCAAGATTTCACCACTCTCGTGCTCAATTCATATTGTGATAAAGGCAAGCATTCCATTAGCCTTCCTTATGGCTCACTGCAGGTTAGCTTTCATTGACTTTTTGATAAGGACACCTAGATCCTTATGTATCTTTGCACTTTCCAACCTCTTACCATATAAGAAATGCTCAATACATCTGTTCCTCTTATCAAAGTAGATAACCTCACATATTTTCACATTATATTCCTTCTGCTTTGTTTTTGCCCACTCACTGAGCCTGTTCTAATCTTTCTTAAGTTGCTTTACGTATTCCTCACAACACATGTTCCTGCTTAGCTTTGTATATATTTGTTTACATAGCTTTGGACATATTACATTTTGTCTCTACATCCAGACCACTAATATATACTGTGAACAGCTGGGTCACAAGTTCTGATCCTTGTAGTACTCTTCTAGTCACAGCCTGCCAACACGATAATGGCCCATTTATTCCTATTCGGTTTTCTATCTGTTAACCAATCCTTAATCCATGCCAGTACACAAAGTAGCCTGAGTACCTTTCGGAGATGTTTTACACTTATAATAGCACCTTCCACTCATCCATAAGTTATTCACCACTCAGTTTTTCTTTAGATGAGACCTATTCCTTCCAGTGGACCATCTCCTTATGCTCACCATAGCTTCCTTTTGCGATAGTTGAGCATCACACAAGGCTAGGCCAGGCATGCAAGAAGACTGAGAGAAATACTGAGATTAAAAATGTTGAACAATCACAAGGCTGATAGGACTGACTTCCAATGGTACAAGGGTAATTCTTTGAGATTGGAATATCAGGACTCAATAAAAGATACAAATGGCTGGGACTGTGCACCCTATAAAGTCATCAAATGGCTAGAGACAGATGGCCACATCTATTTTTTTACCTTCAACCATTAGATTGAAGACAATCTCAGAAAATAGTTCATAGAGGAGAGTTGCTTGAGGCCAGAAGTCTAGTAGATGATGATGTGGAGGCAAGCAACTCACTCATTCTAATTTGTTCCCCTCTGAACTTTTAGCACTCTGTTCTCTTAATTCAACCCTAACATTATCACCAAAGCTGCTGTGTAGAGTGTTGGCTCAAAAATGATGCTTTTGTTGTTTGCCATACTGATCTTTAACATGCGCAGGGCAACAGTATGCTTATATCTCCCCTTGGGCCAATGACACCGCACCACTGAAAATCAATCTATCAGTTCCGCAATTGGCATTGAACTCATCTCCTCTGGAAGTATTCCCTCCACAGCCTGCAAGCACATAGACCTTGAACAGCCAAGTCTACCTCCTTCCAAAGATCCTCAAGCTGGAAACTTCGGTAGAGCTGATTTTCCAGGCTGTTCCTGCTTCAATAAACTGATTTTCCCTATTTCAACATGAATTCTTCTTTACTTGTTTAGTTACTCATTCATTACATCAGCAAGGCTTTGAAACTTCAACAGTCTCCAGGTTTCAAGTCCCAGGCATCACCTTTTCACTTTTGGGTGTGGAGATGAAGGTGATGGACAAATTACTTAATGTTGCGTCAAGCTTGAAATTTAATGAGATAGAGGTTAAAGGGATGAAGCTCAGCTCTATGAGAACAGATCATTCAGTGTATGGAAAGAAAATCCATACAAATCCTTCCATTATCTTTTCCCTCCCCATCATGGTAAAACCCAAGATCACGGCGCCTTTTTTTGTTTCTAGTCTCTTGGACATCCCTGAAATTCATTACCTTACAGTTTCTTTCATTACCTTCAGCAGTCTCAACCCTCAATTTTTATAATTCTTCCCTAAACTGCTTCCCCTTTCCCTCCCTTTACTTAAGTCACTCCTTAATAGCTATCTTTTTGATTTAGCTCTAATTACTTCTTTAAATCATACTACTAAGTGTCACATTTTGATTGAAAATACTCCTGAAAGGTGTCTTGGGGTATTCTATTACATTAAAGCCAATATAAATGCAAGATGTTATCAATTATCGGGCTTAATTGAGAAAACTAACTTTCACTTATTTTGCAACAAAGTTATGGCAATTTGTTTTATTCAGGATGAAGAGCAATGGTATAAGCTGTGCCATCTTCTGAGTCCCCAGTGTTATTTCTTGGCTGATGGAGCTTCAAGGTCAATAGACAAACTCATAACAAGTGGTCTGGGTGAAAATCGATACAGTGGTTTGATCTTGAAACACACCAATCAAACCACAATATCTGACTTTGTTCAAGTAGCTAAACTGATGGAAGGTATGTGATTTATAATCTAGAAATTACTGCCATCATAAACTTTAAAATAGTTATCATTAAGCTTGATTAGTTCCATTTTTTGAAAAAAATAAGATAGGATCCTGATCCAAGTAGGGCTAGAACTGAGATGACAAAAAGCACACTTGACAACCTAAACTTTCTGAAAGATTTTGAAGATGAGGAAAGGTAAAGTGAATTGAATTAACTTAAGTGAGGGTCCATAATTACATAATGGTATTGTGGAGGGAGAGATGTAATGCATAGTGGTATTAAAACAGTGATCATATGGGACAAATCTTCCTCTAGGCTCTGAGTATGTCCAGAGCATGTACATTGCAGCACACAAACTGTCCACTCAACCCAGTGTGTCATTTGGCATTCCATTCCTGTCTTTGCGCACCAGGGGCAGGTTTTTATTGCAGTTTACGAGTCATGCTGGCATGCCTGAGGATTGTGGATTCAGAGATAGGATAGTTAGTGGGCCTGGTTTTCAAATGCTGTATTTTTTTTTTCCTTTTTTCATGTGTTGTGGGCATCACAGTCAAGATCAGCATTTATTCCCAGACCTAATTTTGCTGGAGACAGTGGTGGTGAGCTGCCTATTTGAACAGCTCCAGTCCTTGGGCTGTAGAGATACCACGGTTCCCTTAGAAAGGGTGTTGTAGAAATTTAACCCAGGACCAGTGAAGGAATATTGATGTAGTTCAAAGTTTGGATGGTATATGGCTTGGAGAGGAACTGGAAGATGGTGGTGCTCCCTTACAGCAGCAGTCCTTGTCCTTCTAGGTGGTAGTGCCTCTGGTTTAGAAGGCGCTGTCACAGCGGTGCTGTCACAGCAACTTCAGTGAGTTGATGTCGTGCGTGTTGTGGATGATACAGATTGCTGACGCTGTGCATCATTCCTTAAATTGAAGGTGATAGGGTGCCAATAAAGTGAGCTGGTTTGTCCAGGATAGAGTAAAGCTGCTTGATTGGTGTTGGAGCAGCATTTATCCATGCAAGTAGAGTACATTCCATAACAATTCGGATTTGTGCCTTGGAGGTGGTGGATAGGCTTAGGGAGACAGGAGATGAGTTAATAGCCACAGAATTCCTAGCTAATGGCCCGCTGTTATAGTCATGTTAATATGACTGTTCCAGTCAGTTTCTGGTAAATTGTAACTCCAAGGATGTTGTTTGTGGGTGATTCAAAGATGCTAATGCCATGGAATGTCAAAAATGATTCATTACTTTCTCTCACTGAAGATGGTAATTGCCTGGCACCTACATGATATGCATGTTACTTACCACTTATCATTCCAAACCTGGATGTTGTCCAGGTCTCACTGTATATGGACAAAGACTGCTTCATTATTGAAGGAGCTCAGAAGGTGTGCAGAACACTGTGCAATCATAAGCAAGCATCCACTTCTGATCTTATGATGGATGGAAGGTCATTGATAAATCCTTGAGGATATCCTACAGTGATGTCCACGGGCTAAGATGATTGAGCACAAGTTTTCAATACTTTAGCTGGAATGTCATCAGGGGCCATGGCATTTGTGATATCCAGCCAATGGTTGATAACACATAGAGTGAACTGAATTAGTTGAAAACTGGTGTGTATGTGATTTTGAGAATATCAGGAGGCAGCCGAAGTGGATAATCCATTCTGCACTGATGGATGAAAATACTTCAGCCTTACCTTTTGCGCTCATGTGTTGGGCTGGCCCATCATTGAGGATGGGACGGGATATTTATGGAACCTACAAATCTTGTTGGTCATTTAATTGTTCATCATTCATGACTTCATCTGGCAAGACTGCAGAGCTTAGATTAGATACATTTGTTGTGGTATTGCTCAGCCCTGTTTATTGCGTGCTGATTCTTCTGTTGAAATGTAAATAGTTCAGTGTTGTAGCTTCACCAGGTTGACACATCATTTTTAGTCACACCTCATGTTGCTCCAGCACTCTTCATATAAATAGGGTTGATCTCCTGGTTTCACAGCGATAGTAGAGTGGGGGCTCTATTGGGCTATGAGTTCATAGGTTGTGGTTGAATACAATTCTGCTGTCCAAACAATAGACTGCTGTTCGAGATGAAAAGAGTAGAGTAAAAGCAGAGTGCCTGTCAATCCATATAAGGGAGCAGATACATTTTCTTCAAATATCAAAACCAGTTTATTAAAATCAGCCAGAACCATTTAAATCATAGTGGATAAAAATGACAGCATAAGCTGACAGGACATTTTTTAATTTTTTAAATGCATTATCGCACCTTCTCCATTGGTAAAGGGTTAACTTGTTGATTTGATTGATTAGTTTATTGTCACGTACTGAAGTACATGAAAAGCTTTGTTTACGAGCAGTACAGGTAGTAAGCAAGGATGTACAGATCAAAAAGACTTAGACAGAGGCAGAGAGGTTACATTGTAAGGGGCATGCGCTAGGCGAGATCAACATTAGCAAGATCAACATTATTTGAGGCTAGAAAGTCCATTCATCAGTCTAATAATGGCCGGGAAGAAGCTGCTCCTGAACCTACTTGTGCATGCATTCAGACTTCTGTATCTTCTACTTGACAGAAAGGGTTGTAGAAGATCATTACTGGGGTTGGGATTGGTCTTTGATGTTGGCGGCCTTTCTGTGACAGTGAGCCATGTAAATGGAATCCATGGATGGAAGGTTGGCTTCCATGATGGTCTGTTTACACCATCTTCTGTAGTTTCTTACGGTCCTGGGCAGTGCAGTTGCCATACCAGGCCGTTATCCACCCAAACAGTATGCTTTCAGTTGTACAAGTTGGTGAGAGTCCTTATGGACATGCCAAAATTCCTGAGCTGCCTGAGGAAGAAGAGGTGCTGTTGTGCCTTCTTGACTGTTGCATCTATGTGAGAAGTTCAGGATAGGTTGTCAGTTATTGTCATTCTGAGGAACTTAATGCTCTCCACCTTCTCAACCGCAGTTCTGTTGATGTAGATGGGGGCAAAGTCTTGTGAACTATGAAGGCTCAGAAGAAGTTTGATAAATCAAACTTAATCATATATATATCAGCACTATTAATTCATTTGACTGCCAATGAAGTCAGATAAAGAAAATTGACAGAGTATTTAAAAAACTACTGATTCACTATCACCTGTCCTACACTATAGACCAATGCAAATTTTATGTATGGATAAATACGTGGGTAAACTGAGTTCTCTGTGAGTTATTTATGTTTCTGTGTTAAGGAATGAACTTACTTTCACATCCACATAGTTCACTGACACTCTACAAAAACATGGCCACTCAGAATTCAGAAAAAATGTATGAGCAGTTTGGTTAGTTTTGTTGTACTTACCGTTTCATGAATAGGATTGTTTAAAAAAATGAATCATGTATTAGGTTGGGTTTCTACCTGTTGTATAGTTTGTTTTACTGCTTTTGCTTCACTTACAATTGATAACACATTAGAGAAGATTTCAATAAGTCACAGATTTTAGATTCATGTGTAACTATGAAGTCACATCTTTGGGAGTTTGATGATTATTACACACAATTTAATTAGATATTCCCCTTTAAGTGTATTTTCTTTGAAGTACAGTTTTGTTTAACATAATGAAATTGATGGAAAACCAAACATTTGGGAGGGTATTACATATGGATTAATACTGAACTTTTTTTTTTTCAATTGCTCAGCCCAAGATTGCAGATTTATACCAAGTCTGACAGATGCAGAGACCTTGGATGACAGCATAGCAGACATTGTAAGTGATGTGGAATAAAACAAAGAACTGTGATGCTAGAGATCTGCAACAAAAATAGAAATTGCTGATGAAACTCAGCAGATCTGGCAGCATCTGTGGGAAGAAAGCAGAGTTAACATTTTCAGTCTGGTGGCTCTTCATCAGAACCCTGAGTTCCATCAGAAATTTCTGTTATTATAAGTTATATGACCTGGCATCACAGAATACAAGACCATTTGATCGGAGAGCTATTTATGCTCTTGCATTTTCTTCGCTCATTTTCATGTAGCTTTCAAACATCAGTAAAGAATATTCTTCTTCTCTGAAAAATTTGCATCTGGTTCTTATCAGTGATTGAAGAGGATTAAATGCAAAAGAACAGAATAGTTATGTCAAATTCAATTCTTATTGAGTCATTTCTTTTTCTCTTAACCAAGTCTAGGTTTTTTGATGTGAACTCAAATCCTATCCAGCAGTAATGATGTAGGTCTTTAATGTGACTTCTAGAATAGTCTGGGACTCTAATTTTGCAAAAAAAGGACATTATTTTGACAGATTATAATTGTTATTTAGATTTTGTGTTCAAAGAGATTGAAAATTTCCAGTTTCTGCTTAAGTTCAGATAACTGATAATATTGCAGTTTTATAGCTATGCAAATTTGTATGAAAAAAATCTTGGCTTTGTTGTCCAAATAGCTTGATTAAGAAATTTTAAATTGATCAAATTCACTTGTTGCACCAAACTGAATGAAGACTGTGGGAAAAAATGATGAAAGCTTTCAGTGTCATTCTGACAGAGTCGAGATGCAAATGGTGGTTGAACCATTTACATTGAAAAATAAACAAATGGTGCATGTAAATAGTCCTTAAACACATTTTGGGAACTTCTGTTTTAACAGATGAATTGAAGTAAAGAAATAGTAGTTTAATTAATTATAAATGTACTTGGATTTAGATTTTTGCCACATTTCAGTAAAATGATTTACAATTAAGAAAACACTTAAGATGTTCTTCAATAACTTCCAAGCACTTTTTTTTTACAGGATCGACTGGATTAATAGACAATTTTCCTGTTGCTTTGGCTCAATGTGCTTTTCAGTAAATTAATTTGGCAACTATGTATTTCCACTTCCTTTATATTTTTAAATTTTTTAACAGGTATGTCTGTAAAACGGATTCTCCCATACATTTTTCTTTTTTCCAAACAAAGGCTTCAACACCGACCACAATTTAAAACAAATCTCCAATCATTAATTAGCTTTTGTCTGCTTCTGTTTCATAAAGCTTCCAACTAAAAACATTTGTCTGTTTTCATTCCTTTAGGCTGTTGGTCTGGGGGCCAGGTTCATCAAACTGGGAGGTCTATGTCACGGAGAGCGGGTGGCAAAATACAACCGTCTGCTGGCTATAGAGGAAGAATTGGCTCAGAGGGGAGCATTGGGTATGAGCAGCTTCATTTTATTTCTTTTCAGTTTGCAAAGAATGGGAGACAAAGATTATGGGAGGAGTGACAGAAATTGTGCAGCTAAAGGGAATGAGAATCCTGCGAGTCAGCAAATCACACTCTGTCCAAAAGAAAAGAAAGCATTTGGTAAAATCTGCATTGGTCCATGTAACTGACAACTTAATGGTACTGGATGCACATACAAATACCAATCTGCTTCAATCAGCAGACTATATCTAGGTTTATTTTATTATTGTGTTACCAAATATAGTACTTTCATATCAATAATAGCTCTCTAATTTGAAGACCAGCATTATTATAATTGTGTTTTCTGCTCTGATACAGCTGGAAATGTTGAATACTTTATATTTTTTCAGTTGAAGTGTTCAGTATAAACCAATGTTAACTTAAATACTGCAAAAGAAAGAGTCATTTCAAATTGTAGCATATTAAATAACCATCCAAGTATGTAATAAATCATTTTATGACCCAGCTTTTAAAAATGCACTTTGAAAAATTTGACCAAACTTTAATAGGCTTTGATTTGTTCAACTTCGTAGATAACACTTTACTGTGAAAAATATGAATCTTCAAAGTACAACTTTGCTTAATGCCCTACTTAAGTTTGACTTTCATTTTCTATAGGTCAAGCAGCTGAACATCAATTTCCTGTAATCAGCAAAGAAGAGCATGATCCTAACTCAGCAAGGCCAGGATCTGAGCAATTAGATTAGACTTTAGGTGCTGTATTTAGAGTTCCAAACACAAGTTGCATAATTTCAAAAAACTGTTTAACTTCATAACGGAAAACAAAATCTGATACTTTACAAGAAAAACCTCCCAAAAAATACAAACATATGTATTGGAAGCTGACCATTGATGAAATTATATAAACTAATTACACCAATTTCGTAGTTAACATTTCTATTAGATTATATTTTCTTATGATAGGTGTTCTCCTGATCAGGGCTCAACATTGATACCTGATTGTATTTATGTAAATGTGAAAGTTGTTTAAAGTTGGAAATGTTTATATTTGTTACATTTCAGAAATTTCAGAGCGCAGTTAAATTGTCCCTCTCATATTCAAGCAAATTATTTTCAAATGAACATTGATGGAGAAATAAACATAGAGCTCCTACATGTGTCTTGACTTGACTCTTAAATACATTAAAGGAGACCATCTGCAGAAGGTAGTCTTGTGTCCTTATGCACCAGTATACTGTGTTTCCAATGAAATCGAAAACTGGACTGCTGGAGACATTATATTTACCTTTCATTGTGTTAAGGTCTTTGCCTCTCTCCCCATTCTAGGCAGTGATAACTTTACGAAAAAAAACCTCAAACTTCCAGTAGCTGTGAGGATAACAGAGAAGGCTTTCAACGTTTAAGATTTTTACTGTAATTTTTTTTTTATTTATTCTTTTTGTGGGGTGTGGGCATCACTAGCTGGCCAGCATTTATTGCCTGCTCCTAGTTGTCCTTGAGAAGGTGGTGGTGAGCTGCCTTCTTGAATCACTGCAGTCCACCTGCTGTGGGTTGACCCACAATGCCATTTGGGAGGGAATTCCAGGATTTTGACACGGCGATATATTTCCAAGTCAGGATGGTGAGTGGTTTGGAGGGGAACTTGAAAGTGGTGGTGCTGCCAAATATCTGCTGCCCTTGTCCTTCTAGATGGAAGTGCTTGTGGGTTTGGAGGGTTATGTCTGAGAATCTTTGGTTAATACTGCATTAAAAGCTGTTGACTAAGTATATTTTTGTGGACAACTTCTACTTTAAACCACAAAACAGAACTTTTAACAACAGAAAAAAAGACTTCACAGTTATATTTTATCTATAAGCAGACATTCAATTTTCCCAAAATCAGTTCAAAATGATTCTTAGCTCCCTAAGGTTTGCATTTGATCTTAATCTTGCCCAGGTTGGAAAATTCTAACAACAAACATTCATGATGCAAGTCTTCTTCAGGTGAAGTGTGCAGCCCACAAATTTGTTACTGTCACCTCTTTTATCTGTCTGGAGCACAGAGCTGACTGGCTCCTGCTTTGCTGGCTGTCAGAGTGTTAAGCAGTGTTGTGACTATAACTTGCTCCACTCCTCGTGCTAAGGACTGTCAACTTGCATCTGGCAAGAAGTCCTTCTGTATTTATGAGCTGTCTAGACACAAGAGCCTCTGGCTCACTTGACCAAACCCCAGGACCAATGGTCTCCATTGCCAAGCAGACCCCCTTGCATTCCAGCGACAGAACCGGGGAGTATGCTATGATATAGTTGGGCAGGAACAAGAGGAAAACATATTGAGGGCACTTTGGTTGCACATGTGACAATGCAATGTACATTGTTTATCATTTTCTAATTGAAAATACTTCTGTAAAGCATACTTTTTTTATTTTTCTGTATTTTTGATTTTTGGACAGAAATGGGAAAAGGACTGTTTGAAACAAAGAACTAGGGTTGTGGAAAGGATTTCTGTATTTCTTAAAAGCAAGTTATCTGAAACCATTGTAGACATTGTTTATACTGCTGTTAGTTCAAGCAGTAGGGAAATGTCTAGTTGCAGAGAAGCTCAAACTATGCATGCATATAATGGAGATTTGGCTGGCAACAAGTAGCTGATTGGTCCAGAGAATAGTGACCAATTGTCAATGATAAAGGCCTTCTGCCTCCCAACAACTATGTAATTGGCTTCAGGCAGCTGAGCAGCTAGTGGTTATGAATATTTGAGTCAGAAGGCATCGGACCTCCAAAAAGGGAAGCAGTATCTCTCTCTCTCTGCAATAAAAAATACCTCAAGTTTGAAGAAAACCAATTTATTTTCAACCTCAGTTACTGTAAGCTGGGGCTTACAGTATTAACCAATAAGTCACAGACCCTATAAGTGTGAACAAGTCACTGTTTACCTCCTGTGAGTTAATGAAGGTCCCTTGGGAAGCAAGGTTGACGAGCACCAAGTCCTGAGAAACAAGAAAGATCACTTCATTGAGCCCTTTCAGCGTTGAACTGCTTTTCAAATCTTCCCTTGCCACGTATGACCAATGTTTCCCCTAAGCTGCATAGCTGTGCACACGCGCACTTGCTCTTATATTCCATACACGGCAATCAGTGTTTTCACACATTCGCGGCATAGATTTTGAGTTCCAGAAGTCACTGCTGTGTAATGTCCTCAGAGGCCTGCGCAGCTGGTAAACAAATTGGAGGGAATGCTGCTCTTGACGCCCAAACTGGCTGTGTCGATCTGTATGTGTGTCTTGGGGAGGTTTACAACCAGTAGAGTCATATATTGAGGGTTCAAAATTGCTTACTTGCTAGAATCTATTTGTAACATAGTTATTCTCATTAAGTACAGAAACCTGGGTCAAAAAAAGACACTAAATTGGGAACTTTTCTTCACTTTTATAAAATCTTTAACATCGTGATGACTCCAGGAATGGCAGGGCTTCATTTCCAGTGTGTTACCCTGGTGAGATGGAACACTTTGATCTTTGGTCTGGTTGTTTGTTCCTCTATATAACTCCAAATGTATTTCATAGAATCCTTACACTGCAGAAATAAGCCACTCGGCCCATTGAGTCTGCACCAACCCTCTGAAGAGCAGACCATCCAGGCAAGCCCCAAACCCTATCCCCATAAACCCACATTTACTATGTCTAGCCCACCTAGCCTGCACTTCCCTGAAGACTACGGGGCAATTTACCACAGCCAATCCACCTAATTTACACATCTTTAGACTGAGAGAGGAAACTGGAGCACCCAGCGGAAACCCATGCAGACACAGGGAGAATGCACAAACTCAATTGTTCCGGCATGAGGCATTACTTCACGACCACACAGAATGTACCATGGATTGATGGCTGTGGTGAGAGACTAGAGCAACAAGGCTTAAAGGTGCAATGAGTCCTGCTGAGATCTTTGGCCCTTGTCCTACAACATATCTATTCTTCCCAGCCTTGATGTACAAAAGTGTTGGTTTGAATGAGTTGATCAGCAATGTCTGGTGAGGGGCAGTTTTTTTTCAATATAATGAAGGGATGTGGTCTTCACTGGCTGGGTCAGCATTTATTGCCTATTCTGAGTTGCCCTTGTATGGCAACTTAAACACTTTTCATTATATTTTTTGTAAAAATACAAGTGACAATAAATTATGATTCTATTCTGTTCTATTTTTGAACCACTGCAGTTCCATATATTGTAAATAGATCCATAAAGAAGTAGGATCGGCAGGACTTCGGGTCCCCTCAAGTCTGTGTCCTGTACATTGTATGGGTCTGTGTGTAACATTATTTCTCTTTAAAGGCCTTAACGTCAATGGGTCCTACAGCCCCCTACTTCACAGATCACGTCATTTACCACCCAGTCTGACTGTGCTTGTAGCCATTGTGCACTTTCGATTCCCAGCACAACAGAAAGCAACAGTGAGTTCGCCTCAGTCAGTGATTTCCAGCCTTGACCTCAATGTGTTGGTGAGCCTCCAAACATATAAATCCTCTTCCAGCAAACTCTATAGGCTTCGTTATCTCCCCACGTACCCACCCAACACATCGACATCAGCCTGCACCTGCCCATGGTTACCACTGGAGTTAAGCAATCCCTGATGAATGATGAACCATTAGACCATTATCATTAACATTGATGTGGTGAATAGCGATGGAAAAGATCATGCTGATGAAGCCTTTCATGCTTGAATAGTCAGCAAACAAGTTATCTATAGAAAACACACATGATCAATAGTTGTACATTATGCTAAAATATATGAGACAAACTGGTTGTTGATGAGATAGCTTGTTCTCGTTCAGACGTTTCGTCACCATGCTAGCTGACGTCATCAGTGGAGCCTCCGAAGAAGCGGCATTATTCTACTCCGCTTGGAATTTATACTCTTTGGTCTGTTATGGTGAGTAGTGTCATTTCCGGTTTTGATCTGTATGGGTTTGTATATGGGGTCCAATTCTATATGTTTGTTGATTGCATTACAGGGGGGAGAACCATGCCTCTAGGAATTCCCGTACATGTCTGTGTTTGGCTTGGGCTACTATGGTTGCATTGTCCCATACCTTGAACTGATGGCCTTCATGGTCTGAGTGTACCGATATCAGGGAGAATTTGTTGTGCCGTTTTGCTGCTAGTTGATGTTCATGTATTCTGATGACTAGTTTCCTTCTTGTTTGTCCAGTGGAATGTTTGTGGCAGTCGTTGCATAGTATTTTGTAAAACACATTGATTCGGCATGTGTGAGAATGGGGTCTTTAATCCTTGTAAGTATTTGTTGTAAAATGGCTCTAGGCTTGTGGGCCACCATGATTACTAGTGGTCTTAGGAGTCTCATTGTCATTTCCAATATGTTCTTGATGTAGGGCAGTGTGGCCGGTGTGTTAGGGCGTACTGTGTCCTCCTGTTGTTGTCTGTTTAGTAGGTATCTGAGGATGAAGTTGCGGGGATATCCGTTCATAGCGAGAATTTTGTATAGGTGCTCTTCCTCTTTCCTGTGTAGTTCGGGGATGTTGCAGTGTGTCCTGGCCCGTTTAAGTAGTGTCCTAATGCAGCTTTGTTTGTGGCCGTTGGGGTGGTTGCTGTGGAAGTTGAGGATTTAATCAGTATGGGTTGCTTGTCTGTATACTGAGGGTTTGGAACACCACGTTGGTAATGCGCTCAACTTTAACATCCAGAAACGAAAGTTGATTGTTGTTTTCTTTTTCCCTTGTGAATTTAATCCCTGTGAATACACTGTTGATGAGGTGGTGGGTCTCTTCTAATTTGTTGTGTTTAATAACGACAAATGTGTCATCTACATACCAGATCCACAGTTTAGGTTGAATGCGGGGGAGGGTGGTGTGTTCTAGTCTTGGCATGACTGCTTCTGCAATGAGTCCTGAGATGGGTCACCCCATTGGTGTACTGTTGACCTGTTTGTATACTTGACCATTAAAGACAAAGTGTGTGGTGATGCAAAGGTCTAGTAATTTGAGTATGTTGTCATTGCCGATTGAGCTGCGTCTGTGTTGCTGCTTCCTCTAGTAATGTGGCCACTGTTTCTTGGTTAGTGGGATATTGATTGATGTGAATAAAGCTGTGACA